CATAATTCAGCCAGACTGATTTGAAGATTTACTATAGGAATCATAATTCAGGTGTGCTGAATTGAAGAATTCCAGTAGTAATCTTAATTCAGCCAGGCTGAATTGAAGATTTTCTACAAAAATTATAATTCAGCTGGGCTTGTTTGAAGATTTCCTATACAAATCGCCATTCATCTGATCTGAAATAAAATTTTACAACAGATTTTTTCAAATAATTCATAGTTTATCGTTGCCGTGTAATCCCCAATGTCCTCTTCTTTACTATCAACTTCCCATCCCTCACATATTGCAATAAACTGTCACATAACAACCCATAAAGTGTAGCCATATCTCTGTGTAATCCCTTTTTATGAATGCCAATTTGTAAAAGCATGTAAATTTGGTATTAAAAACAAAAACTACAACAACAACAACAATCTATTAACATAATAAAATGACAAATCAAAGTGATTACAAAGAATAAAAATAATAGTATGATAACAATCCAACAAGCAATACGAGGTATGATATGCCTGCCAGAGAAAGCATTCGTAGGTTTTTTATAGAAAATCTTCAATTCTGTCGGGCTGAAATAGTGATTTCTATAGGAAATCTTCAATTCAGCCTGGCTGAATTAGGATTTCTATAGGAAATCTTCCATTCAGACTGGCTGAATTAGGATTTCTATAGGAAATCTTCCATTCAGCCTGGCTGAATTAGGATTTCTATAGGAAATCTTCCATTCAGCCTGGCTGAATTAGGATTTCTATAGGAAATCTTCCATTCAGCCTGGCTGAATTAGGATTTCTATAGGAAATCTTCCATTCAGCCTGGCTGAATTAGGATTTCTATAGGAAATCTTCAATTCAGCCTGGCTGAATTAGGATTTCTATAGGAAATCTTCAATTCAGCCTGACTGAATTAGGATTTCTATAGGAAATCTTCAATTCAGCCTGGCTGAATTAGGATTTCTATAGGAAATCTTCAATTCAGCCTGGCTGAATTAGGATTTCTATAGGAAATCTTCAATTCAGCCTGGCTGAATTAGGATTTCTATAGGAAATCTTCAATTCAGCCTGGCTGAATTAGGATTTCTATAGGAAATCTTCAATTCAGCCTGGCTGAATTAGGATTTCTATAGGAAATCTTCAATTCAGCCTGGCTGAACTAGGATTTCTATAGGAAATCTTCAATTCAGCCTGGCTGAATTAGGATTTCGATAGGAAATCTTCAATTCAGCCTGGCTGAAATAGGATTTCTTTAGGAAATCTTCAATTCAGCCTGGCTGAATTAGGATCTCTTTAGGAAATCTTCAATTCAGCCTGGCTGAATTAGGATTTCTTTAGGAAATCCTCAATTCAGCCTGACTGAATTAGGATTTCTCTAGGAAATCTTCAATTCAGACTGGCTGAATTAGGATTTCTCTTGGAAATCTTCAATTCAGACTGGCTGAATTAGGATTTCTCTTGGAAATCTTCAATTCAGATTGGCTGAATTAGGATTTCTATAGGAAATCTGCAATTCAGCCTGACTGAATTAGTATTTCTATAGTAAATATTCAATTCAGCCTAACTGAATTAAGGTTTCTATCGAAAATCTTCAATTCAGCCTGGCTGAATTAGGATTTCTATTGGAAATCTTCAATTCAGCCTGGCTGAATTATGATTTCTATTGGAAATCTTCAATTCAGCCTGGCTGAATTAGGATTTCTATTGGAAATCTTCAATTCAGCCTGGCTGAATTAGGATTTCTATTGGAAATCTTCAATTCAGCCTGGCTGAATTAGGATTTCTATAGGAAATCTTCTATTCAGCCTGGCTGAATTGGGATTTCAATAGAATATCTTTAATTCAACCTGACTGAATTAGTATTTCTATAGTAAATCTTCTGTATTAATCCTTTAATTCATTTCATCTGAATCCAGTTTTCTCTTTTCCCGTAATTATTAATCGTCCTTTGAAAGAATGACAGAACCCCGCCTGACAAAGTACAATTTTAATAATAAATAAAGTATTTCACAAACTTTTAAATTAACTCTAACTCTCTCTAAAAAAAAAGATGACAACTGTCTCGTTGAACAAGACGAATGAAGAAAAAACAAGCAGTCGGGCTGTATGTAAATGAGTTAGACGCCTTAAGGATGTCAACAAACCAGAAGTGACACAAAAGCCAAGTAGAAAAAATCAAAAGTGGTGAAAGGTTTATTTTGACACATAACTTCAAGGAAAATTCACTAAAGGAGACCAATTACAAATACCAAAATAAATGGAGGACTTGTTTTTGTTGGTTGTTTGTTTTGTGGGGGAGAACAAAAATGAGAGATGTAACGGTAAACACAAGGAGAGGCTGTTCTTTGGCGCATGCCTTTAAAATACGAGGTGAAAACATTGATGAGAGAGTGAAATGTCTCACCAAACCTGAGAGTCATTCAAACTCTCTGTAGTTTTGATTACTGAGATGATGAGCTCTCTGGCTGTTTTTTTTTTATTTACCACACTTATTATAACATTATTTCTTATTAGTCGCCCTTGTCTCACTCTCTTTATTTCCTTAATAAACAAAACAAACCAAAAATGGGCTGAACACACACATTCTGTTACATCCTGTCTTGTGTACATGTGGGTGGGCTGGGTGATTGTTCGTGTGTCTCTCCGTGTTCGTCGTGCCTGTTAGTCGGGTGTTTTGCTTACATTTTGCACTTCCTTCTTCTTTTGCTGGCTGTCCGTGCTGTATTGTTGATGCTGTTGTGGTTGTTGTCCATTGCTGTTATTATTGCAAACATTGGAGTGTGTTTATATTTCTCACTGGATGTTGCTGGCAAGTGTTGTTGTTGGTAGCTGCCACCGTCTCCTCCATTAAACATATGAAAAAAAGAGTGCGCATGTGGGTGTTCTTGGTTGGGTTGAATATGACTTGATAGAGGATAGGGCACGTTAGAGTACCATTCACAGCATGGTTGACAAGTGAAAAAGCATGGCCACACGGTCTTCCACTACCGCTGCTCGTGCTGTTGGTGGTGTTGTTGCTGCTGTTGTTCTATTTGATTGTTTTGTTTGTTTGTGTGCACTCTTTTTTTCAAGTGTCAAGCTTGTGTTTTTGAACTTTGTACACTCGTTTTGGTCGTTGTAAGACCACAACCAAAGGGGGGAGAGGAGCGCTGGAGGAACTGCTGCTGTTGCTTGTCTTGTTTTGCTGTCTTTGTCATTATTTGTTATTATTGTATTTGTGTTGTGTTATTATGTGTTCTTGTGTGTAACCTTCTTGTTTGCCGGAATAAGGCACTTATTGTTGTATTTAAGACCTTGAAAGGTTCGGCAGTTTAGAAAGAAGCTTGATAAAGGAGAAAACACAGAACTTCGTATAGCTGAACAATGATTTTAATAAATAAACTTCAATTCAGCCCAGCTGAATTAGGATTTCTATAGGAAATCTTCAATTCAGTCTGGCTGAATTAGGATTTCTATAGGAAATCTTCAATTCAGCCTGGCTGAATTAGGATTTCTATAGGAAATCTTCAATTCAGTCCGGCTGAATTAGGATTTCTATAGGAAATCTTCAATTCAGCCCGGCTGAATTATAATTTCTATAGGGAATCTTCAATTCAGCAAGGCGGAATTGGGATTTCTATAGGAAATCTTCAATTCAGCCTGGCTGAATTAGGATTTCTATAGGAAATCTTCAATTCAGTCTGGCTGAATTATGATTTCTATAGGAAATCTTCAATTCAGCCTGACTGAATTAGGATTTCTATAGGAAATCTTCAATTCAGCCTGGCTGAATTAGAATTTCTATATGAAATCTTCAATTCAGCCCGGCTGAATTAGGATTTCTATAGGAAATCTTCAAGTCGACCGGGCTAAATTAGGATTTCGATAGGAAATCTTCAATTAAACCGGGATAAATTAGAATTTCCATAGGAAATCTTTAATTCAGCCTGGCTGAATTAGGATTTCTAGAGGAAATCTTCAATTCAGCCCGGCTGAATTAGGATTTCTATAGGACAGTAGAACATAATAAGCCCCATAGTACAACACATTGTGAAATCCCAATTGAAAGCAAATGCTTCCCAATGAATATGTTATGATTTCTAAAGGAAATCTTCAAATCAGCCCGGCTGAATTATGATTTCTATAGGAAATCTTCAAATCAGCCCGGCTGAATTAGGATTTCTATAGGAAATCTTCAATTCAGCCCGGCTGAATTAGGATTTCTATAGGAAATCTTCAATTCAGCCCGGCTGAATTAGGATTTCTATAGGAAATCTTCAATTCAGCCCGGCTGAATTAGGATTTCTATAGGAAATCTTCAATTCAGCCCGGCTGAATTAGGATTTCTATAGGAAATCTTCAATTCAGCCCGGCTGAATTAGGATTTCTATAGGAAATCTTCAATTCAGCTTTGCTGAATTACGATTTCCATATGAAATTTTCAATTCAGCCTGGCTGAACTACGATTTCTATAGGAAATCTTCAATTCAGCCTGGCTGAATTAGGATTTCTATAGGAAATCTTCAATTCAGCTCGGCTGAATTAGGATTTCTTTAGGAAATCTTCAATTCAGCCCGGCTGAATTAGGATTTCCAGAGGAAAACTTCAATTCAGCCTGGCTGAATTAGGATTTCTATAGGAAATCTTCAATTCAGCCCAGCTGAATTAGGGTTTCATGATGAAATAAGCTGCGTGATTGGCGTTAAATTGTTTTTTTTTTAATTCATACAATTAATGTTCGAATGCAGTTGTCGTATTTGTAATGCATGTTGTATTGCCTTATTCAGGGAAGATGATATTTAACCCAAAGCATGCTTTAGTAGAATTCAAGACATAGCTAGGACAAGTTTCAATTCAATAAAAATACCTAAAATACAATCTTTCCTATATGATCCCTAGAAGTCACATATGGCTAGAGTCAATGGGACAGTAGAACACAATAAGCCTCATAGTACAACACATTGTGAATTCCCAATTGAAAATAAATGGTTCCCAATGAATAAATTAGCAAAAAAATCGATTTATTGTACTCACCCTTCTCCTGTAATTGTTGACGTTTGGTATCGCCTTTTAATATCTCCGCCGTGTGGACCAGCTCATTAAGTTGCGGTTTTTTCATTTTCAGTTCATGCAAAACTTTCTGCAAAAATTAAAAAAAAAACAACAACCACGATAGATGGATTGGATAAATGAATGAATATGGTCGGATAGATGGATGGTTGGATGGATGGATAATCAAAACAAAGTGGAGGGAAAGCAAAAATAACAATAATACAACAACAACAATAACATCATATAAATAATACCAACAACTAAACAATAGTTCGTTCGTTCGGTTTATTTATTTTTTTTTTTTAATTTAAAGTTTGTGCTAATTTCCCACCCCGCCCAGGGGAGTAAAGGCAGATCTCTTATGGATGTGCGTGCCAAAAGGAAAAAAGTTTTGTTTTGTTATTGTTGTGTTTCGCTTTGCCTAGTTAGCAAAAACTGTTAGTCAGTCAAAGGATGTCTCGGAATGATGTTAGTTTGTACATAGCAAAACAACAACAACAACATAAAGTAGAATCCATTTGCTTTACTCGGGCTTACCTCCTGCTTTTCTATGGCCATGCGAACGGCATCGACATCATCGACTGGCACACTTTGGATTTTAATCATGTTTTGTTCCCACGTCAACCAATCGGATATTTGCAAAACGGACTTGTCAAAGCTACCAGCCAATGCTCCAGTGCCGCTGGGTTCGTCGTTATATTCTGCAATGAAGAAAAAAGAAAGAAAGAAAACAAAAACAACGTCAACATCAACATCGGTAAACAGGAAATAATTTTACATGAAATTGATTTTTCTTTTCACTTCAATGACTGGAAACAGACAGGAGGATAGATATCATCAGAAGCATGACTTCTTAATGGAGGTTGTCTATTTTTTTGTATTTTTTAATTGCTTTGTTGGTACTTTCAGTTTTTTTTTTAATGACGGTCTTTGGCTTTTTAAATGGTTTAGTTATTATTAATTTTTTATGTAAATAATTTGATTCTATTAATGGTATCATTACATTCTAATTAGAAGGAAATAATATCATAGCAGAAATCTAACGAATAAGGGACTTTGTATAACAACTTCGTAAGGATAATTGTATAAATAAATAGATCCTATATTTGCAAATCTTCTAAAGGTTTGAGAAATGATATGGCGTATAAAAAATCGATTACTGGTTACAGTAGCAAATAATAATCCTATTTTCCATTTCAAATGCATTGAGAGGTCCTTAAACCCTCTGAATAAAATCATTTAATCTTTGATTATCAATCGTTTGAGTAAGTGTATACCGTGAGAATATTTCAAAAGGATTCTAGAGGTACTCATAACACATTTCATCATTTACTAATAATGAATAATATAACACATTTCTAAGATAGGGGAGCGTATTCATTGAAAGGCTTTAAAAAGCGAGAACATAAACTAGAACAGCTTTGCAATTGGCACAGCTTCAATTGTGGAATGAGATGAAAGTGAAAAAACGTTATCGCTTAGAAACTGAAAACGAATAGCTTTTATAATTACTAGCATATACCCGCTACTGTGTTAGCGAATGTGGGATGTATTTAAAACCCTATACCGACCATATTATTATTAAACTTTTAGAACCATTTAGTACATATGTTCTCTTTAGTAAGTTTTTCAAATCTACCTTTATATCTCAACCCTACGTACCCATTCCGATCGCAACAGAAATCTACCTCTATACTAAATTTGGTGTCAATTCTTACACTTTGTACTCAAATCAAATATAGATTCACTTAAATCAAAATTGAGTATCATTTAGTTGAATGCCATTAAGTACCAAATTTCATGATCTGAACTCTGAAGGTTCACCTAAATCCAAATCTTACCAAATTTAGTTCCATTTAACACACATACACCAATCATACACCCTCACTGTGATCCTAATTTCATGTTTCAGGATTTAAACTCTATCGGTTCACCCACAATACAAATTGTATCAAATTTAGTACACAGTAGTACGAATATCAAAAACTTCCAACTTAACCCAAACCAACACCCCCACAGTGATCCTAAATCTAAATTTCAGGATTCCAACTCTATAGCTTCATCCACAATTTAAATTGTACCAAATTTGGTACACATTAGTACACATCTCTAAAACTTCCTACATTTCTCAATCTTACACCTTAACAATGATCCTGACTCCAAATTTCATGATTCTACCCCTATTGGTTCGCCTAAAATTCAAATTGTACCAAATTTAGTACCCAGTAGTACCAATTTCCAAAACTTCATACATACCCAATCCTAAGTCCTAAATCTAAATTTCAGGGTTCCAACTCTATCGCTTCATCCACAACTTAAATTGTACAAAATTTAGTACACATTAGCACAAATTTCTGCATATCTCAATCTTACACCTCAAAAATGATCCTGACTCCAAAAAAAAAAAAAAAAAAAAATTAAAACTTCCTACATATCTTACACCTCAACAATGATCCTGACTCCAAATTTCATGATTCTAGCTTTACTGGTTCACCTAAAATTCTAATTGTACCAAATTTAGTACCATTTAGTACGAATTTCCAAAACTTCCTACTTAACTCAAACCAACACCCCTCCCCCCAATGATCCTAAATTAAAGATTCAGAATTCCAATTCCATCGCTTCGCCGATAATTTAAATTGTACCAAATTTAGTACACATTAGTACAAATTTTTAAAACTCCCTACATATCTCAATCTTACACCTCAACAATGATCCTGACTCCAAATTTCATGGTTCTAGTTCAATTGGTTCACCTAAAATTCAAATTGTACCAAATTTAGTACCATTTAGTACCCATAAGTAATAATGTCTTAAAATTAGTCCTGACCCCAATCCTATACCCCTACAGTGATCCTGACTCCAAATTTTATTGTTCCCGCTCTATCGATTCACCCAAATCCAAATTGTACCGATTATAGTACGATTTAGTACTTTTCGCACACATAAGTAACAAATTTCCGAAACTACGTACATATCCCAATCCTATACTCCGACGGTAATGTTAATATAAATTTTTAGGATTCCAGCTCGATTTGTACCTCTAAATTAAATTTGTACCAAATATAGTACCATATAGTACTTTTCGTACACATGTGTATATGGTTTCAAAACCATCTCCTTATATCGAATCTACTTACGAATGAATTTATGGTGATAAATTCTTTACCAAACGAGTATTCGCCAAAGAATGTTCGCACACACATAACGAGCGAGAGCACACAACAACGTTGTGTGCTCTGTTGGTGTTTGAAATTCTTTCTGACATTCTCTCACGAATGAAAACAAACATTCCCGAATTCTCGCGAATGATCAAAAAGGCAACGACAATAATAAACTAACGTCGTGAACTCAATAGTTGTTGGGCATGTGTTTTGTTATTCCACACACTTTCTGCTACACACACACACACACATTCATTCGTTGTGTGTGTTTACTTTTTTATGATATTTTTGTGTGTTGTTGTTTTTAACAGTGCTCGCGAGCATTCGCGAACATTTGTTTTTTGAGTTTTTCAAAAGAATGTTCTTCAGCAAAAAAATGCTCGCGAAAGAATGAATCGACGACGCTTGCAGCGAAATTTTATCGTTCGTGATTTTTTCGTACAATGCGAACATCCGCGAGAGATTGCAAATGCTTGTTCATTTATTGTAACTTTATCATTCGCGATAAATTGAAAACATTCGAATTCTCGCCCGTGAGCATTCGTGAAAAAGAGCGTATTTTAATCATTCTTCGCACATTGAAGACTTGTTGCCATTTTAAAGTTATCTTCATAATACCTCTCTCATAGAAGTCCTGATCTCTATTTGCAAAAAAACTCTAGTAGTCGATTTTCACAATCATCCCTAGATACCAATTTTTTATCATTAAAGAAATTTTGCAATGCAAGTAAGATATGAAAATCGCTTGGTGCCACTTTCGAACTGTATGGCGGATCCATTAAACCATCCCAAAGCTCCTAACGTTGTCTTGTTGGTACACGACATCACTCCTGTTGGCCAATTCTAGCCATTTTCGGTCAATTGCTATCTTCAAACGGTCCAGTTGTTGACAGTAGAGATCAGAACTTAGCGTTTGGCCATATGGAAGCAACTCATAATAAAAAATCCCCTTCCCAATCCACCAAATGAATGATTTTTTTATTATGAGTTGAGCGTTTTATGTGATTCACAGCTCTTTGACCACGGTCGTTTTTGCACAAGGTTATTTCTCATGTGAACCATTTCTCATCTCCAGTCACCATCCGTTTAAGAAATGGGTCTATCTCATTCCGTTTGGCCAAGGCTTCGCAGATGGAAATTCGTTCCATTCTATTTTTTGTGTTAATTGGTGTGATACCCAAAAATCGAGGTTCTTTTTGAATCCAGCTTTGTGTAAATAGTTTAAAACAGTTTTATAGTCGATTTTTAGCTCCTGGATGATGTTACGACTGCCAACATGCTCGATATTTTCGACTACCGGTCTAATGGATTTATTTTTCCCCAACCTAATATATGTCCTTCTATCTGTTGTTATCACTCTAGCGTCTAAACGAATTGAGATTTGGTTTGCTGGCAGGTCAAGTTCGAGGATGGGCTATATCGGTCCACGTTTAGGCATAGCTCCCTTGTGAGGATACCCCCCAAATTTTCGGTATTTTGGGGGTATTGAGCGCGTTTTTCAACGGTTTTCGCTGAAATTTGGTACATTGGGTTCTTATTGAGTACTAAGTTTCCCCACCAAAATTTGTTTAAATATAGATCCACTTTTTCTGGTAGCCCACATATAACAATACCCCCCAATTTTCTGTATTTGGGGGTTTTATCGCATTATTGACCGAAATGGCTGAAGCTTAGTACTTTGAGTACTTATTGGGTAAAAAATATCACCATTAAATATTATAAATATAGGCCCATTTTTTCGGGTAGTCCCATATAAGGGTTCCCCCAAATTTTCGGTGTTTTGGGGTTCTTAAGCACCTTTTCAACCGAATTGGCTGTAATTTAATACCTTGAGTTCTTATTGGGTAGAAAATCTCACCACTAAAAATTATAAATATAGGTCAAGTTTTTCGGGTAGCCCCCATATAAGGGTACCACCCAATTTTCGCGTTTTTTCAACCAAATGCGCTAAAATTTAGTATTTTGTAGTCGTATATGGTAACAAATCCCCCTCCCAAAAATTATAGATTTTCGACCCCTTTTAGGAGTAGTTCCCATATAAACCCCTATTTATTTAAAAATAATTATCAGATTTGTTCCGTCGGTTGGGTTTGTCTCCATATAGGCGTTTTCTACCATAGTATGGAGGATAGTCGATACATGAAATAGTCAGTGTTTAACCTACAAAGTATTGAATTCTAAGACGATTTAGACATCTGTTGTAATCAATCCGCCTTCTAAGGATATCGTGATAAAAAAAACTCGAACCTGACGACAATGAAATATATCGGCCAGCATAAATCTCATCCATATAATGATACCTCCTAAAGGAAAGAATTCTATATTTTCATTGTAAATATCTGTCAGTATACCCATGGTGACGCTTGGTGTGGGAGATAATGAAAGGAGTGGACCGGTAGGTTCCGCCTTCTAACGTCATAAAGGCATGATTAAAATATTAGGTTGTGCAAAGTATTATTCAAATCGGGTAGTCGGTTCGCGTGATATTAAAAATGAATTTTCAGCAACATTTTTACAATTTTAGGTGGGAGGTACCA